CTGCAGGCTCGGCGGCGGCAGCTGCTGCAGGTCGAGCGGCGGCTGCTGCTGCAGGCTCGGCGGCGGCAGCTGCTGCAGGTCGGCGGCGGCTGCTGCTGCAGGCTCGGCGGCGGCAGCTGCTGCAGGTCGGCGGCGGCTGCTGCTGCAGGTTCGGTAGCGGCAGCTGCTGCAGGTCGGCGGCGGCTGCTGCTGCAGGTTCGGTAGCGGCAGCTGCTGCAGACGAAGTCGAAGCCGCGAAGGGGCGGCTGAGGGATTGCGACGGGCGGCTAAGGAGCCGCGACGGCGGCTGAAAGGGCCGCCACGAGCGGGTGGGGAGGTGACAACGCTACGGGAAAGGCGACGCGGCGGGCGGCGAGAGCCTGCAGCGGCGGGCAGCTCGCGGGCAGTGCGCGGAGCCGCACAAGGCTGCGACGGGTCGCGTGACAAACCCTAAGCCGCGCGCGGGCGGCTAGCTGGTCGCGCGCACGAAGAATCGGCCGCGCGCGGGCGGCTAGCGAGGCGCGCGCGCGAAAAATCGGCCGCGCACGGGCGGCTAGCGAGTCGCGCGCGTTAAAAACGAGCCGCGCGCGGGTGGCTAGCGGGCTGCGTGCGCGCGGTAGGTAGAGGCGCACGAGGGCGCGCGGTAGGTAGAGGCGCACGAGGGCGCTAAGGCGCACGAGGGCGTGCGGTAGGTAGAGGCGCACAAGGGCGCTAAGGCGCACAAGGGCGCTCGGTAGTGAGAGGCGCACGAGGGCGCACGAGGGCGCACGAGGGCGCACGATAGGTAGGTAGGTAGGTAGGTAGCGGTGGGCCCTAGGAGCGGTCCTAGCAAAGGACCTGCTCTGATACCATGTCAGAATGAACAGGCAGGAATGAGGAACTAGAAAGGATGGTGAGTACAAATATGAAACCCTAATGTTGTGACCCCCCCTATAGGCTAACCCACTACAGCCTACACAAACACAACATATATAATGTTTGACAATGCAGTTGCTTCAGCAGTTGGTTCAGGCACTCCTGCATGAGTGTCGTAACATCAATATGCTCGGCCACTTCGAAGGACGGCGGCTCAGCTTAGCTCTAGGCACAGTCGTGTCTGCACGCGTATACGAGAGAATGCGAGGATAGCGGCTCCTATGTGCTAAGGGGCGTGAGTACCTTCGAGTGAAAAAAACGAAAGTTGATTTCTCTGGGTGAGGATATGTGCGGCCTAAAAGAAAGTGGCTCTGAATACCAAGTGTTACGGGTGCAATGGAACGAGATATCGATGTTTGCACTAGGTGTAAAATTTGTTCAAAGTATGAGCAAAGGCATGAGCGAATATTTATGTGCGAAAACATGCAACGGTTACGTGGTGCATGTGAGCTAGCAAGTGCTAGGCTGGCATCGAGGTTCGGGCTAGTCCCAAAGCGTAGGCCGACTTGGCTGGGCCAGCGGTGCATGGTTTGGTGAAACAGTGCGCGCGAAGTTGGCGAAGCCCCGTTAGCAGTAACGGGCGAACAACGGCTGCTGCTGTATGCGATGTTGACGTACGGGGTAAGGAATGTCGAGAAAATTTCTTACAAATGTGTAAACATGCAGGCATAAATATATAGCTGTGTACAACACGTGCAAGGTGAGATCAAGAGATAAGCAAGTGAGCACTGTATGCACAAGGCGAAGCGCAGTACAAAAACGCTGACGATGACTCGATCCAAGGGCCTCGGTAAAGATATCAGCTGTGTTGTCCACTGAGGACACGTAAGAAATGCGGAGCTGACCACGCTGCTGCGACTATCGTTCGAGAAAGTAACGAACAGTGATGTGCTTCGTTCTGTGCTCCAGTCTCTGCTCCCGACACAAGGCAATTATCGCCTTGTAGTCGACGTACAGATTCGGAGGAGAACGACGCCGCTTACCCAAGTTGGTCAGCAAGTAGGTCAGCCAGCACAACCCCTGTGCAGCCATAGCCCCGGCGTATATCTCAGCCTCACAGCTGGAACTAAGCACAGAAGATGAGCGGGTGGACCTCCAAGAGACAGAATCAGCGCCGAGACTGAAATTGTAACCCTGGGACGACCGCTGGGTCTCCTGGTCGTCAGCCCAGAAAGCGTCTGAGTTCCCGGTGAGCACAACTCGACCCCGTCCTCCACGCACAAGCCCCATGCCTAATGTACTGCACAAGTAATGCAATCCCCTCTGTGCAGCCCGGCAGTGCTCAGGGTGGTGTCTCTCGGGCGCAACGAAGTGTGCAAGGATGCTAAGAGGGTATGCGAGGTCAGATCGAGTGCACGTCATGAGGTACATGAGGCCTCCCACAAGCTTTGTATATGGACCACTTGGCTCTACGGACTCGTCCGAGCCATAAATGGCGTTGTGTAGTCTCAAACAGATGCCAACTGCGACCAGGCATGCATCTTCATGCGAGCTTGTTCCGAGGTGGATACATGCTTGAAGCGATCTCGCAAAACACTGCCCCACTCCTTCCACGTGTGAATCTTGATCACACCAAATATTGATGTTGCCACTTAATTAGCCGAAGTTGCGGTCCCATGTGCCACATGTGTCACACTTGTCGAAGTCCCCGTGTCCAACGTACGTCGTGGCCATTCCAACTCGGGTTCTCGGACCAGCGAAACCGCGTAATTAATACGCGTGACGTCGCCGTCAATTCTCCCTTCAGTGCAGAAGACCTCCACGTCGTACAGCCGCCCCTTGACGGTAATCGCTTTGTCTATAGGGTTAAACGGGGGCGGGATCGCGGGTTTGATCTTGATTGAAGTTACTGTAAGTGCTGTTGTTGCTGGCGCTGCCTGCCTATCACTCAACTCGTTGCCGCGTGCGATCTCACCAGTTGTAGCGACGCCGCTCACTCCGTAGCTGGTTGTATCGCCTTCTTCAGTGGGCGTCTTCAGACGTGCCTAACTTAGTCTGTCATTTTCTTCACATAGTTTCTCGACCACCGCTGTTAATGCCTGCATGTTTTTCTGCATATCCTCCATTTGCTGCATCATCTTGTTGACTGGTTTCTGGTCCATGAGTCGCACACTTCGTCTAATACGCAGGGGGTTTTCCGTGGCCTTCAGGCAAGTGGAAAGCAAGAACTGTCGAAGTTGGGCAGGTTAGCAAACCTTGCAGCCAACTGTCTTACAGTCCAATGTACTGGCCAACCCATTCTAAACTACCTTCGAAAATCGGGGTGAACTCAGAAAATAGAGTTGTAAAACAGAGTTGCGCGGAAAACAAATAACGAAGCTGTGACTAAATGAATTGATAATACAATTAAGGCAAGTTTTAATATTGTGACTACCCAAGTTACCGTAGGAGGGAACCTCGGGAACACGTAGTTGGGTGCAAGTTTGGCGAAGGGAAAATCGAAGGCGATGTGAGGCAACCTCGAAATTATAGATGTCGGCCGAATGAGCGAAGTCCGAAAGTGCGGGGTTGTACGTTTAGCAGTCAAATCCGATAAGGAAAACAATTTTTCCTTACAATGAGTTTGTTTTAATATGATTAGAAGATGCTTTATGAAATTATCAGAAATAGGAAAAACACATTATGCGCATGATATAATGATGTAAATTCCTGTTATTCTCTGGGAGTAATGATTGAAAAGGGAACTCTTATTACTATTTGACTATGAATGACGTTTATCTATACTATCATATGATTCATGTGTTAATTGTACTCTTTGCTATACCATTCATAGCGCGGTTTTGTTATCAGGATGTACACATGCGAGGTACATTTGCGATGGTTTCCGTGTTGTCGTTGGGCTTTCTGTAACCGGGAGCGTAGAGACATGCCCTCACGAGATTTCTGCCCGTTCTCGAAGATATTCGCTTCGGTTCAGAGGGTGTCTCAATGTGACTGGTCCGCGCGGACCTGGTCCGTAGCTTAAATTTGCTCCCTGATCCGAAGTCTGGTCCGACGGACCCTTCTGGCAGACCAGCCGTGGACCAGAAGCGGACTGGTCTGCTTGATGTGTTGCTACAGTCGCTGCGAATTTCAGTAGTGACGACGAAACAACGATGTACTGAAATTGAGTTATCCTTTTTCATGTGCCCGTTTGAAGCTTTCCGAATAATCTTGTGCGAAAAGCACGAGAGTTAGAGGACTCGCAAAGAGATGTTCGTGAGATTACTGTTTACGGACCAGGGGCGGACTGGTCCGGCGACCAAATCGAAGGCACCGTTTTAGTGCCATTCGAACGCTATAACGGGAACTCAAGCCCGAACCCTGGTCCAGTCCGTTGCTGGCTCACGCGCTGGTTCTCGAGCTGGTCCGTCGGGTCCGCGTCGGACCCGCGTGGACTTGCTCGTTTGAGACACGTCCTCAGGCTTTCAGCCTAGGGCAGTAACTTTTTCTGTTTCAGTCAAATGACCGGACGGAGGCCCCAAAACGTACGAACGGAGCTCCGTCCGGACGTTTGGGGATGTGGTTCGGACGGTGAAGAGTCCGTACCCCTATTATGACACTTTTTTGCAGTTGCGAAAATTGCAGTTTGAGTGAAAGAGTAACGCGGATAACCTACCTCGTCAGCACAGCGTCCCCTTCGCAAGCAGCCAGACCGGTGTGAGTTCGCTTTTTTGTAGTGCTGTGAGTCTGTGTGCCCGTTCGGACGATTGTGGAACTTTCCCTCCCAGTGTGGTTCTGGCGAGGGGGAAACCGAGTCGCCAAAACTGATGAAAATTTTGCCTCGCGCACCAATGACGTTGCAGGAGTTCCGGACGGTCCGAAATGCTGTCCGGACGACGTCAGGAGTGTAGAACGGACGATGAACAAGCAGAAAAGTGTCAGAATTCGTACGGACGATCGCGACGTCGCGAGGGGTCTTGCGAAAATAATAACGAACTAGGGCGAACACTGTAACCCTACAAAAGTCCGTACGGGTCCTCCGTCCGGACGATGAAAAGAGAAAAAGTTACGCGCCTGCATGTGGCACTCTCGCCGACAGCGACATCCATCCGTCATCCGTCGAATGACGGATTGCTTCGCTTTCCTCGCAGGGACAGATCTGCGCTGTCTAGCGCTCACCTCCTATGTCACCTTCGCACGGACAGATCTGCGCATCACTTTTTGTGCTGTATGTCTGGTTACGACCAATGCCTTCACTCCTCCATCGCCCCCTTGTCGTCCATAGCTCCCTCCCTAGCTTCCGCCCAGTGGCAATGGCGGCGCTACCCAGGGGGCTGAAACGAGTCGCGGTCATCGGGGCTGGCCCCGCAGGTCTCGCGTCAGCCAAGTACCTCCTCGAGGCAGGCCTTCAACCCACGCTGTTTGAGAAGGCCGGTTCCATCGGCGGATTGTGGAGGCAAGGCATTCCAAGCGAGGGCGGCGAGGCAATCGAAGAAGAATCTAGTTCAAAACCAGCCGCCAGGGCATCAGAGGGGGCGCCTGCGTGCTGGGCAGGCATGATCACAAACCTATCGCGCTTCACCTGCAGTTTCTCCGACCATCCCTGGCCCGACGATGCGCCACTCTTCCCGTCGCAAGCTCAACTGCTCGCCTACTTGAAGTCCTACGCCCAGCGGTTTCTCGTTCCGCCGGGATCAAACTCATTCGCAGCTTCAACGTCGCTGCGCCTGAACGCGCGTGTCTCCCGCGTCGCATTGCTGGACGACGGAAAGTGGAGTGTCCACGTAGATGGAGGCGGCCAGCAGCAGACCCCAGAGGTGTTCGATTCCCTGGTCGTCGCATCAGGGTTCTTTGAAAGGGCGCACATTCCCGACATGCCAGGGGCTGATGCAGCGGCAGCAGCAGGAGTCCTGATCCACAGCGCCGACTACAGGAGCAGCGATGCCTTCGCGGGGAAGAAGGTCGTCGTCGTTGGTGCTTCCTTCAGCGGCGTCGACATCGCCACTGACGTGGCATCAAAAGCCTCTCAGGTCATCCACGTCATCAGCAAGCCCTTCTGGCTGCTGCCACGCTTCCTTCCAGCCGACCCCTCGGACCCAGCCTCGCCCTTCCTGCCGCTCGACTTGTGCTTTTATCGAAGGGCATCGCGAGCGTCGTCGTCTTTCGTCCCGTTGCGCAGTGAAGAGGCGCGGCGTGCTGCCAACAAGTACATGCGCGCTCTGTGCGGTGATCAGGTGATTCGCAGGGCGCAATGGGATGGGTGGGATGGAACCCTGCTTCCTTATTTTGATGTGGAAGCCTCTCTCTCTCTCTCTCTCTCTCTCTCTCTCTCTCTCTCTCTCTCTCTCTCTCTCTCTCTCTCTCTCTCTCTCTCTCTCTCTCTCTCTCTCTCTCTCTCTCTCTCTCTCTCTCTCTCTCTCTCTCTCTCTCTCTCTCTCTCTCTCTCTCTCTCTCCCACCAGCCTTTTAGTGTTTAACCACCTGACACCTGCTTCAAACACCCTCTGGGCTCCATCCATTCACGTGTCCATCCCATGTACCCATGCCTCATGTCCCCCATGCCTCATGTCCCCCATGCCTCACGTCCCCCATGCCTCATGTCCCCCATGCCTCTGTCCCCCATGCCTCATGTCCCCCATGCCTCATGTCCCCCATGCCTCATGTCCCCCATGCCTCTGTCCCCCATGCCTCATGTCCCCCATGCCTCATGTCCCCCATGCCTCATGTCCCCCATGCCTCATGTCCCCCATGCCTCATGTCCCCCATGCCTCTGTCCCCCATGCCTCATGTCCCCCATGCCTCATGTCCCCCATGCCTCATGTCCCCCATGCCTCTGTCCCCCATGCCTCATGTCCCCCATGCCTCATGTCCCCCATGCCTCATGTCCCCCATGCCTCATGTCCCCCATGCCTCATGTCCCCCATGCCTCTGTCCCCCATGCCTCATGTCCCCCATGCCTCTGTCCTCCATGCCTCGTGTACCTCTAACTGGATTCTTTCCCTGCTTTATCTGTGCTTGCAGGGTAGACTCCTCTGCCCTGAGCTGGCAGTGAGCAGCAATGGCAGCGAGCATCCGTTCATTGCCATCTCGGACAGGTACGGGCCGATGGTGCAGCAGGGGCTCATCCGCGTGCTGCACGGCCGAGTGGAAAGCGTGATGCTGCAGCCGCATTCAGAAAGCACCGCACCTCCGCAGGCTTCGCTCATTCTCCAGGGCACGGATGAGCCCATCGACGGTGTGGATGCCGTCATCTTCTGCACTGGCTACAGCCCCACGCTGCCCTTCCTCCCCACCCACCTCAAGCACCAGACTGGCTTCGACCCGTCCGACCTCTTCTCGCCGCTGCTGCTGCACCGCTGCACCTTCCACCCGTCGCTCCCCAACGCAGCCATGGTGGGCATGTACCGCGGGCCCTACTTTGCCGCCATGGAGCTCCAGGCTCGCTGGGCCGCAGCCGTGCTGTCCGGCGCCCTCCCACCCATTCCAACCAGCACCCTTCAAGAGGGTGTTGAGGAGGCGAAGAAGGTGCGCGAGCAGCAGTCAAGGCCGCAGTTCCCCGTGTGGGACTACGTGGGCATGTGCAACTCCATCTCAGACGCGCTCGGGTGTGCGCTGCCCACAGACCCCGAGTGGATCAAAGCACACGACATGGTCGTGCCTGCGCACTACTGCCCCAGGACCAGTGCACCGTCTGTCGCTGCCGCTGAGGTTGCCATGACGCAGTTGGCGCGTGCTTGTGACGAGTTGGAGGGCGGCAGTGCAGTGGCAGGCGCGGTGTTCCGGGGCCTGGGGGGACGTGGCGGTTGGAGCGGGAGATTCGGAGTGCGCTTGAGGGCCTGCCGTCAGGCAGGATGGAAGGGACAGCCACGTTTACGCTACGGCCGGGGGAAGGAGAGTACCTGTACCGTGAAGAGGGGGAGTTTGTGATGGCAGGCAGTGCAGGGGGCAAGGGCAACAAGGTGTGGCGGGAGTATGTGTGGGTGTGCCTGGGGCCGCAGGATGGCATTGCCGTCCACTTTGCCGACAAGTCGCAGCGCACCTACCTCTTTCACCACCTGAGGTTCTTTCCGGACCCTTCTGGGTCAGCTTCTTCTTCCGACAGAAATGAAGGTCTTCAGAGTGCTGATTTCGTAGGCAAGGCACTGCCCCGGGCGTGGCGTGCGGTCGGGGAGCACCTGTGTGTGAAGGACTTGTACAAAGTGGCGTACCGGTTTGCCTTTCAGGGTGTTCACCTGGAGAGGTTCAGCATCGAGTACCTTGTGCGGGGGCCTCACAAGGACTACGTCTCCTCTGCCTTGTTTACTCGCCCTGCCTAAATGGTCCCTGGTCATTCTCTCTGACACCACTGGTATCACGACCATACCTTGTGTTGTGTGGCAGCAACAACGCATGGGGCAGTGGCAGTGCCTGCGGCAGCAGCAGTGCCTGGGACAGCGGCAGTGCCTGGGACAGCGGCAGTGCCTGGGACAGCGGCAGTGCCTGGGACAGCGGCAGTGCCTGGGGCAGCAGGAGCATGGCTGGCCACCGCCGCAGCAGGAGCTGGGGCTCCGCCAGTAGGGCCTGGTTCGGCAGCAGTGTCTGGTTTGGCAGCAGTGCCTGGTTCGGCAGCAGTGCCTGGTTTGGCAGCAGTGCCTGGTTCGGCAGCAGTGCCTGGTTCGGCAGCAGTGCCTGGTTCGGCAGCAGTGCCTGGTTCGGCAGCAGGTGCAGCGGCATCATTAGGGGCAGCAGCAGGAGGAGTGGCAGCAGAAGGGGCAGCAGCAGAAGGGGCAGCAGCAGAAGGGGTGGCAGCAGAAGGGGTGGCAGCAGAAGGGGCAGCAGCAGAAGGGGTGGCAGCAGAAGGGGTGGCAGCAGAAGGGGTGGCAGCAGAAGGGGCAGCAGCAGAAGGGGTGGCAGCACAGGAGGCAACGAGTGCAGAAGGAGAAGCTGGAGGGGCGGTGGGAGGAGGAGCATCATAGCAGCTGGCAGGGGCAGAGGCGGGAGGAGGTCTGAGAGACGATGAGCAGCTCGGTGGCGGAAACTCAACTCACAGACAGCCCCACAGGAGAGAACAACCCTGCAGGACAACACACCCCCCAACAAGAACATCCCTTTTGAAAAGAGCACTCTTCATGTACCGTATGAGCTCACTCGTGACGCCTCTGGAAGTGTCTGCCCCTCGCACCGTGGAGGCGAATAAGGTCTCTGAAAGGGCTTGGCAGGAGTTGCTTCGTGCAGGAGTGGTTATGTGGGGATATTTCGGATTCTTTACAAACAGGTTATAGAAATGCTTGCTCAAGCAATCCCCAAAGAGCCATAGAAGATTAGTGGAACCAAAACTCTTCTTTATACCGGTAATCTGAATCATTTCTCACCACTAACCTATGCCTACCAATGGACTACTCTATTTACTCAAGTCACGCTGTTCCCTTCACACCTTTCCACCTTATAGTTGGCTCGAGCTAAAACACGGTTCAAACTCTCTGGGATCTGAATCTTATGCTTACAACCCCTGATGGTGAGCTCGGTGAGTCTGTTAAAGCCCGCCAGGTACTCCGGCAGCGAGTTCATCTGCTCACAGTGGATCAGCCGCAGCTTCCTGATGCGATGAAAACACGCAAAGCTCCCGGGGAGGCATGGAAACCTTGACTGGTGAATCTCCAAGGTCCTCAGCTTTGGTGGGCAGGTGATGTTTCCGGTGCATCCCCTCTTGACTCCCACGTGGGACAGTCTTAGAAAGCGCAGAGAAGTGCAGGCAGAGAGGCACTCCAAGGTTCTCGAAGATGTGAAAAGCTGGTCGAGAATGAGAATTTCAAGCCTGAGCATTGGTGGATTCGGGTGTTTGCTGCATGGCCAGTCCACCTGCAGAAAAGTCAGGTTTGGGTGCGCGGACAGTTGAATCTCGGAACCAGGCTCGGCCCTCTCTAGCATGTGCCTCAGGTTCGGCAGAGCCCCAACCTGAGCAGTGGAGTGTATGGCTTGGAAGACCCTAAGGTTCGGAAAGAGGCACTGTGAGTCCGGGACTCGTGGGCAGCGAATGTTCACCAGCTTGAGCTGTGTGATTGTAGAGCAGGCCCAGGGGGACAGGCTCTGCTCGTTATACGAACGTCCATGGAGAGTCAACGACTCTAGAGCAGGAGGGAGAAACGGTGTAGGAGCCCGGGCTTTTCCCTGACCTTGTTGACCCTGCTCACCTCCCTGTCCCTGCTGCCCCTGCTGCCCCTGCTGCTGCTGCTGCCCCTGCTGCTGCTGCTGCCCCTGCTGCTGCTGCTGCTGCCCCTGCTGCTGCTGCTGCTGCCCCTGCTGCTGCTGCTGCTGCTGCCCCTGCTGCTGCTGCTGCTGCCCCTGCTGCTGCTGCTGCTGCCCCTGCTGCTGCTGCTGCCGCCCCTGCTGCTGCTGCTGCTGCTGCCCCTGCTGCTGCTGCTGCTGCCCCTGCTGCTGCTGCTGCTGCCCCTGCTGCTGCCCCTGCTGCTGCTGCTGCTGCTGCCCCTGCTGCTGCCCCTGCTGCTGCCCCTGCTGCTGCCCCTGCTGCTGCTGCTGCTGCTGCTGCCCCTGCTGCTGCTGCTGCTGCTGCTGCTGCTGCCCCTGCTGCTGCTGCCCCTGCTGCTGCTGCTGCTGCTGCTGCCCCTGCTGCTGCCCCTGCTGCTGCCCCTGCTGCTGCTGCTGCTGCTGCTGCTGCTGCTGCCCCTGCTGCCCCTGCTGCCCCTGCTGCCCCTGCTGCCCCTGCTGCTGCTGCTGCTGCTGCTGCCCCTGCTGCTGCTGCTGCTGCCCCTGCTGCTGCTGCTGCTGCTGCCCCTGCTGCTGCTGCTGCTGCTGCTGCCCCTGCTGCTGCTGCTGCTGCTGCCCCTGCTGCTGCTGCTGCTGCTGCCCCTGCTGCTGCTGCTGCTGCTGCCCCTGCTGCTGCTGCTGCTGCTGCCCCTGCTGCTGCTGCTGCTGCTGCCCCTGCTGCTGCTGCTGCTGCTGCTGCCCCTGCTGCTGCTGCTGCTGCTGCTGCCCCTGCTGCCCCTGCTGCTGCTGCCCCTGCTGCTGCTGCTGCTGCTGCCCCTGCTGCCCCTGCTGCTGCTGCCCCTGCTGCTGCTGCTGCTGCTGCCCCTGCTGCTGCTGCTGCTGCTGCCCCTGCTGCTGCTGCTGCTGCTGCTGCCCCTGCTGCTGCTGCTGCTGCTGCCCCTGCTGCTGCTGCTGCTGCTGCTGCCCCTGCTGCTGCTGCTGCTGCTGCCCCTGCTGCTG